TCTGAATGAAGGCAGTTTATTTTCTTCCCATCCATGTGTTTACATTTTCTCTACAGATTATGTTTGTAAACATTTATATAAAACTATTAGCAAGGGGAAAATGTTTTCACTTCACAGAGATACGTGAATTAATTTAATGTATTCAGCTTGTAGAAACCCTTACCATGTTTCACGGTAGTCGCTGAAGCTATATTGTACACCTTTCTACCTTTCCATTTGTGATCACCTATTGGTTCTTCATATATAGTATTCCTTTTGTCCTATCTTTGGACCCTGTACTATCTCCTCATCTGGCTAATGCCTACTCATTTGGGTCACAACCTAAATGTCATTTCTCCAAGTAACCATTGCTAATCTGCCCTTTTCCCTATTCAGGTTAGCTTCCCTATTAAACATATCATTTTACCTATATGTCACTTATAATTGCTTGTTTTATACAATTGTAAATATCTAATTTTGTAATGATTTGTTTAATGTCTATCTCATTCATAAAAATCTGTTAGCACCAGCACAATAACCCAGTATACAGCAGGAATCAATAAATATTTATTGAGTGAATGAATGAATTTTCATTCTAGAAAGCTAGTCAGCTAGTCATGACAAAAGCTTAGAAAATGTGTAATTTATTAGAAGGTAGGTTTTCATGTGTATTGCCGTGAAGAAGTTATTCAGCATATTCTTTTGAACTTTTATTCTCTAGTAGATCTATATTTAAATCTACTTTTCTATTTGTGTCCTCTTTCCTCCCTCCTTCCCCTCTCCCCAAACATTGATAAGTTTGTCAAATATTAATATACTTTTGTTAGTCTCTTAAAGAATCACCTTTTGCTTGGTTGCTCTTCTCTATAATTCTTTTGTATTCCATTCCATTTGTTTAATAATATTTCATATTATTCCTTCCCTCAACTGTATTTGGGTTTACTTAGCTATTCTATTCATATCTTTTTGGTTCAATGCTTACCTCACTAATAACAAATCTTCCTTCATTTCTAATACATGCATCATGAATCTATAAATTCCCCACCATGTACATCCCCCAGTACATTTTTACAGGACTGGGGATTCTGTAATTTTTATTGTTTAATTCCAATTAATGTTCCAAAGTATCTAAATGACAACTTGATAATTGAGGTTTGCTTTCTAATAGCAGTGCCTAAGTTTATCTTTTTTTTTCCCCATCAACCCTGGTCTGTTCTCAGTGTCACTGGCACCAAACAATCACATAAAGTGACAGCTTTTAACTTTCAGTATGTCATCAAGCATATCTAGCTGTTAGGTTGGCATATCCTAATGCTAAAATTGCCCCGTGTCTGCTATTGAGTTCTTCAGTGAAGATAATTTGCAATTGAAAGATATTGTCATGGAATACAACTTTAATTTATTAATTTATTTAATTAATAAAGACTTTGATATGACATCATAAAAACTCATAGTGTAGCAGAGTAATGGTCTATTTTAATTGTTATGGGCTAATGAGAAAAGAACAAAGGCAGAATTAATATGTAAATGATGTGTTTACATCAAATGAAAGCCAAATGATATTAGAGAATACTGTACTAAGAAAGGTTTTCCAATCTTTCAAACAGAGAAAAGTGTTGAGAGAATTGACTCACCCACATCATCAGGAGAGGCATGCCGAATTAAGAGAACTTTTGCCACAGTAGTCTGTATCACAACAAAGGCAAAAATCCATAAACTTGTGGAGGTTATCCTGAGATAATAATCAGATTAAAATGAATCCATAATATGATGCAAGTCCCATGAAAATAAACAAATCAGAGCAAGAAGATATCAATGATAGGGAAGAGGACCACTTCTGTGGTCAGGGAAGGAAGAATGGATTCTCTCAGGAGAAGACATTGTAGTAGAAACCTGAGTATGGTAGGAGGCAAAGACACATCTACTGGGGAAGACTGACTGACAGAAGCAATAGCAAATACAAAGACGCTGATGTAGGAATGAGCTTGACACATGTGAAAAGTGAAAAAGCAGTGTGTGTTGATGGGATTGTAAATTAGTACAATCGAAATGGAAATGAGTATGGAAATTCCTCAAAAGGCGAGGAATGGAAATACCATATGACCCAGCTATACCACTCCTCATTGTCTATCCTAAAGAATGAAAGTCATCCTCCTTTAGTGATACGTGCATACCCACATTTATAGTAGCACAAAACCCAATTTACAATAGCCAAATTATGGAACCAGCCTAGGAGTCCATTAACAGATTCATGGATAAAGAAAATGTGGTATATATGTACACCGGAGCTTTATTCAGCCATAAAGAAGAATAAAATTATGTCATTTGTGGGAAAATTGGATGACACTGAGAGTATTATGTTAAGCTAACTAAGTCAAACTCAGTAAAGAATCATATGTGTTATTTCATTTGTGGAAGCTAGACAGAAAAAAAGTAGTGAAGGATCTCATGAAAATAAAGGCAAATCAGTATAGTAAAAGGACCAGGGAGAGGGATAAGGGGGAAATATTGGGGAATAACATTGACCAAACTATATAGTTATAGCATGTGCACACATGTTTGTGTAAAAACAAATCCCACCATTATGTACAACTTTAATGCACCAATAAAAATGGTATTGAGCTTTTCAGAAAACTGAAGGAAAAAAAGGAAGGGTGGGAGAGAGGAAGGGAGTCGGCATGAAAGAAGAAAGAAGTGAATAGATCATAGGGAGAGAGTGGTATGCAGTGAGAGACGTATGCAATGAAGGGGGGAAAAAAGCAAAATCTTGAAGGGCCTTGAAGTCATGGCAAAGAGACTGGATTTACTCCTGAGGATGCTGGGGAAATACTACAGGATCTTATACAGTTTGTCTGAGTACTAGAAAGGGAGATGGGTACCAATTCAGACTTGTTAGTTTACTGGAGGCGTAGATTTAGTGGACTCTGACTGAGACAGAATCAGCTGAGTGGAAGAATGGAGGTAGGGGTTGGAAGGGGAAGGTAAAAGATAAGGTGTACAACAGTTGATTCAGAGAGTAGAAGCGTTAGGCAAATCTATAGGATTTCCACAGAGAGCCAAGTATCCACTTGATACTTGTGGACATAAAGTAAGGCAGTCAGCAGAATTGTATTCATCTCCATCCAATCACATTTAGACCCAAAGTAGACAGAAAGCCAAGAGAAAGAGTTTTTCCAGATAAGGATAACAGAGATGAGCAAAAGAGTTGAATGTACATGTGGAGGAGATGAAGCATGGCCTCTAAGATGGGGGGAAGAAAGTGGGCATGAGGCGGCTGAGGAATAATATATGAAAGCAACAGGTCAACAGATTGGAAACCCCAAGGGATCATGGAACTCCAGTTGGAGTAGAGATGCTAACATCATGTGAGGTAGCTTCCTTGGAAAGTCAGGAAGTGGTGATCAGAGAAAGCAGAGCTTTCAAAAACATTTTGAAGGTCAAAACAGTGTTTCTTGACAAGATCACAATTGGCATTTGAGGTGAAATAATTCTTCATGTTCGTTTCAGTCTCACATACTAAATGACATTGAATATCATTAGCTTCTGTTCTCTAAACGCTAGCAGCATTCCTTACATTTGTAAATACTCCCTAGGACAGTGAAAATTACTAGGTGGCAAACCACTGACTTGAAGTATGGACACAAGATAAAAGTTCACAAGGGATAAACTTAAGGAACTAAGAGGCCATTTATGTCTCTTCTATATGATGGCTTTTACCAAAAATGATGCAGAAGAGTGATGAATGTAAAGACTGTAGGATAGGAGGTAAAACCTTCAAAGAATACAGAGTAGGCCATATTATAGTTTGATGACATGTCCTTTAAAAGTGCTTCTATGTATAACAAAGTATTTTAAAGTGACAATTAGAATGAAGGTTATCAAACCCACTGCTAGACACTGAGGAAAAATAGCCCCTGCATAACAGAGTAACAAGGAAGTCTCCCTATTATGTGTAGCCAAGAGTATCAAGCAAGGGCTGGGGGTATAGCTCAGTGGTAGAACATTTGCCTAGCATTACACTGGCCCTTTGGTTTGATGTCAAGAAAGGATGAAAGAAAGAAAGAAAAAGGAGAGAAATAAAGAGACTATCAAGTAGTACTGTCCAAAAGAAATTTCTATGATGTAAATGTAATCCATGTGATCTATTAAAAGACCCAATATCCCAATGTCCCCTACTGAGCCTCTAACATGAGTGCAGTATGTCAGCAGAACTAAGTCTTTTGCTTTGTTTAATTTTTCATTAATTTAAATGTAAATAGTTACATTTGTCTAGTTATTACCATACTGAAAGATCAGAAGAGTAAAAGGTGAAAGAAGAGCAGGTGTGGGTCTAGATAAGTTTGTAGGATTGTAGCAGAAAGATGACAGAAATCATGCTCATAGCATCTACATTTTCAATAAACAGGATCAAAAATTCATTTTAATTTATTTCAACCTCCTCCCAGACCAAATTCTGTACTACATTGTTATGGAAGACATTTGAAAAAATAAAAACTCTTCAAAAGTCTGAAATACCACCACTGAGTAAAAATTATTCCTTCTTATAGAAGCATCTGGTATTAATAGACTTTGACTATTGCCTATTTTTCTGAAATGGCCTAACTGTAACTTTCCCCAAAGATGGATATTATATCTCTAACAAAGGAAGAAAAATATAACTTCTGAAAATTCCCTTTTAAGAGATTTTATCGTTTTTTAGAAATCATATTTCTTGCATTTCATGTACAAAATAATATAAAGAAAGTTGTTCTTTGATATCCAAAATGGGGCAAATATCCAAAAGGAGGCAAAAGAATTCTAACTGGCTACAAACTGCATGCCTATAATTTCTGTCTTAACAAGGTGATAAAATAATGTGGTCAGAGGCTGCTCCTCCATACAAACCCAGCCATATGCAGAGACGTCCAGAATGGCCTTGTGATTATGCATTCAAAAGCTTGGTTGCTAAATACAAGCAACACTATTTATCTGCACTCACTAACCAAATGAACAATGGTAGTCAGGAGCCTAATAACACTCACCTAATTGAAGAATTGCAATTTCAGGCAGGGGACAAGCACAGTACAGGTATCATCTGAATACTGCTTGATGCTACATTTGATTAGGAATAAAGAAACAATGATTTAGTTTATCAGTGCCTCCAATTTTCATTTCATTGTAATCAAAATACTCTCTAGCCTAGACAAGGGACAAAGTCCTTAGTTTAATATACCATAAATACATATTTAAGAAACAGAATCTGTGAGGTTAATCAGAACAGTACTATAACTAGTTAGAGTCAATCTATAGGAAACAAAGGTCAATTTCTCTTGAACCTTCAGGAAGAATCTGTATTTGGATGTTCTCACTTAGACCATGTGCTGAGTATCTATCCTATCTTCCACATCCCTAAAGAGGTCTTATATATTACTCTTGGATCTAAACTCCAGGGTTTTGCAAAAGTCAAGCAGAAGGCTTAAGAACTGAAGAGCCTGTAGAGGTCTACAACACTGGTAAGACACAGTCTACCAGATGTCCAGCCTCGGAATCCACTTTGGGTCCAGGATATAGATTTATGTTTCCACTGTAATGAATTCCATAGTTTCTAGTACTTAAACCAGGATTGAATGAAGGCTATTCTTGCTCTCCTTTTCAGTTTCCCCCAATGGAACTTAGATCAACATGAAAACCAAAATGGATGTTGGTGCTCTACCTTCAACACTTCTTAACTCTTGTAATCTGAGGCTGCCACCATGGAACAGGAAGACTCTCAAAAAAGTGAGAGTAGGTAAATGGATTGCTTAAGTCCATCTCAGCTACTTGGGAGAGACAAGTAAGGAAGAGCAGCAGAAAGAAATTGAATTAATTCCAACCACCTCTCTCTGTCCACATGCCCCCTCTGGTGGAGGAACTAATTGGTACTGTAATAGCTGTATTTTTTTTTTAATAACCAAAATTTTAAAAAGCAAAAGCAATCCACAACAAGACAATCAGCCCCTGTAGAATTGAGAGTAAAATGTAGTGATTAAGAAATATGAGCTACAACTGGAAAACCACTTTCAGATGAAGCAGTAGGATGAATGATTTACCAAAAGGTCAACACTGCTCTTTTATCTTCACCACCCATCAGTTTCCATTGCCCTCAATTTGTCTGGCACAAAACAGAAAGAAGGTCATAAAATATTCACATAAAAATTTACTTTATTTTGCAACATTAAAAAAAGAAACATACAGTTGGATATCAACAAAGCAGGGTACGGGACTAGCTTTTCTATTAGGATTTCTTGCAAACATTAGGAAAAAGTGCTGACATTTAAAACCCTGATATAAGAGGTAATGTGCTCAGCAAGTTCCAGAACTCTCTGTCTTGACCTTGGCTTTGAGGATCCACTGTTCTCAAGCAAAGGGGGGGTTAATTAACTTCCTCCCCAAACACCACACAAGTGGTTGCAGGAGGTAGGGAGAATATCAGACTTTCCCTAACTTGCACTCTCCCGGGAGTCAAACTTTCTTAGTGGCCTCTGCTTTTAGATGGTGTGGATGATGGTTTTCAACTCTTGATACTCAGAGGAGCTGTAGAACAAAACACCTCCCCACTCCCATTTGACAACCTTTGCACAAAAGGAAACACAATGTTAAGTGAAATTATATTTTGTGGCAGAAGGATTTCTGAAAATTCATGTATCTGCAAACTTCTAGAACCCTTTAACCAAACCAGCAAACCACATTACTCTGTTTTCACTGAAAGGATAAGACTGATTACATCAGAAAATGGGTCATTTCCCCATTCTTCCTCTGAATTTACCAATTCCATGTCTGATTTTGCATCTTTCAGACAATTTAAAATTTTTTGAGCTAGTAAAAAATTCTTCTCAGACTATATAAAGGGGGATCTAAATATCTGTTACTATGTTTGTGCATTGTTATTCACAGATTTTTGTGAATCAAAAAAAAAGAAAGAAAAAAGTCAAAAGATCTCAAAAAAAAGATATCTACACAGATATTCATCACCATATTACTTATTATAATGAAACTTGGAAATACTCATTGTCAAACATAAGAATATTATTTAAATTAATTATGGTATAGTCAAAGTAGAATATAATACAGATTGAAAATTATATAGTAGAATATTTAATACTGTAAAAAACAATTTTGGGTATTGTTAATGAGGAGAAGTACATAACAAAAACAGTAGGCACAATATTATCATATTTATTGTCAATGGTTATATTTGGATAATGAGACTAAAGGTTTGGCAAACACTGATTGGCTAACCTGTCTTTGATTCACAACCCTTTCACTCTAATAATCCTTATAACTGGGAATAGTTCTATAAAATGAAACATAAACAAAAAGTCTGCTAGGGAGAACTGTGTGTGTGTGTGTGTGTGTGTGTGTGTGTGTGTGTGTGTGTGTGTTTATGTCCTGATTTAAAGGATTCTTCTTTTCTTTACCATCTACCTTCCCAATACAAACAGGATGCCTGAAGGAGTACCAGCTTCACTGTGACCCTGAAAAAAAGAAATAGCATGCTAAGAACAGGAGAAAAGCAAAATCACCGTATACAGACTTCCTCTAAAGACTTGGAGACTGTCACCACTGGTTGGATTTTCTGCAATTAGCAGACAAATGTATTCCTGATACTCAGGAGGTTCTATTTTTATCTTTTTGCTTATCTATATATCTTTATATTTTTACCTAAATATGTTATTTTTGTGATAAGAAAATAATGCTGGATACAAGAAAAAGAAGCTTTAGTATACTTCAAGAGAAATCTGGAGACTAAGAGACGCAGTTCATCTAAGGAACAAGATAATGGGCAAAGAAAACATGCCGATAATAGAATTCTTAGAGTTGCTTAATGCTATTAATATTTTCAGTACTTTAAACATACACTGTTTATTTCTGGAAACATTTAAGATATACTACAGTGCCGGTACTCCAGCAGGCACTGACAATTCCTAACATGAAGAGAGCTGTGATCAGATAGAAGGGAAACAAGGAACTTCCAGAGAAGTAAAGTATCTTGCCTGACATTAATCAGCTTCTCAGTCATGAAACAAGGACCAGAATGCAGGTCTATTAACTCCTAATGACTTTTACCACTCTATCATATAATTAAACATTAATATTCAGCTAAATGATGTTTAGAAAACTCTGGTGGAAGTTGTTTAAGAAGGATGAACTGAATGAGGACAAACAAACAAACAAACAAAACATGGGAGTGAGATTTTTCTTTATTAATAATCACAGATTTGCAAGGTTCTTTCCCTCAAATAAAGGGAAAGGTCTGTTTGAATGGAGTGGAGAAAATCCTTGTTTTTATCTGTCTATACCACATCAATCAGTTCATCAAGTCATGACCACAAAATGTAATCTCATTCAACCATAATAATGGCGGAAAGAATACTAAGTAATGCAATCAATTGTTCGGTACCACAAGTAACAATTAAAATCTGGTCTATTTATTCATCTTTTAACCATTTGCTTTTATATCCCTGTACATACAACCAAAAGAATAAGACCTAAGAATCTATCAAGGCTCACTGAAATTGAACTAAAATTTTGGATGGCGTTCAGAATAATAAGTGCGGTTCCAGAAGCAGGGCAGCTACATTGTTCCTGGATAGCCAAAAAATCGGGTAATAAAGAGGAACAAACTATGTTATCTCAAAAGATGCACTGTTACGTTAGAGTCATGAGGTGTCCCCCAAAAGCTCATGTGTGAGAAAATGCAAGCAAGTTCAAAGGTGAATTGATTGGATCAGGAGAGCCTTAACCTTATCAGTGAATTAATCCACTGATGGGTTAACTGGGTGGTAAGTGCAGGCAGGTAGGTGTGACTGGAAGCAGTGGGTCATTGAGGGTGCCTTTGGGGCTTATAGTTTGTCACCATGAGCAGAGCTCTCTTTTTCTCTACTTCTGGTTATCACATCCCGAGCTGCCTTCTTCCCCCAAGCCCTCCCACCATGATATTCTGTGTCACCTCAGCCCAGAGCAATGAAGCCAGCTGCCTCTGAAACCATGAGCCCAAATAAACTTTTCCTCCTCTCCATTGTTATTATCCAGTCTTTTGGTCACAGATCCCAAAGCTGAGTAAAACATGCACTTTGACAAAATATTATTTTGAACTAAAAGCACTTATAAAAAACCAACAGGTACAAGAAGGGCACATTGACTCTCCTCTTTTTCTTTCTGAAAGCAGATGAAATCTCAGTTCAAAAGATGTCCTCTCTATATCAGAAGGAAAGTAACATTCTTATCATCAAGGATGGGAAGTTAAGAACAAGAGAATTTTATATAAATAGACCTTGTTAAAATAATGCTTCTTGTGATTTATTCTCCCCACATAATTTAGTTGCTTTTTCCACAACTGACACTCTTTGTTCAATAGAATACAAAATCAAAAGATTTTCCCATTTCTTTGATTCTTCATTTCCTTATGGTGGACTCTCAGTCATATGAAGCTTAACTTGAATAAATTTGTATGATTTTCTTCTATTAATCTGTTTATGTCAGTTTAATTCAAAAGCCCAGCCCCTCCCCCCCAAAAAAAAACTCTAAGAGAAAATAATATTTTACCTCCCCTGGAGTTGCCATCTTGAATGCTGGAAGGTACTCTCATTCTTGAAAATAAGAACAAGTATGGACATGTTTCTCAGACATGTTCATTTACAACCCAGAAAAATAAGTAAAGGATAATATAGTAAAAATAACTGCCACATATAAACACTCACATATATCCCTTATTAGAGCAGCCATCATCTACACTGTGATAATCTATTTGCAATGTCTGTCCTCCCACTAGATTATCAGCTCTCCAAAGGAAGGACCATTTCCTTTCATCTTTGCCAAAGATACCAGGCCTTTCTCGAACTTCCCAAGATTCAAATTAAACTTAGATTCCAACTGTAAATGCCACTTAGATTCCAGCTATAAATTCCTATAAATCATAACAGAAATTATTACTGAAAGTTCCTCTTCATTCCAAGTTATCTTACTTTTTTTAAAAAAGTTAATAACTTTTTAACATTTCCAAAATATCTTGAAGGGCAGGGGTAGGATGGGGGGGAAGTCACACATTAAATTCTTTGAAGTAACATTTACTT